ATCGCGCCCCGGGCCAAAGGCAGGCGCCAAACTGCTGCGCCACTCAGGGATCCCTTTGTGTATGTTTTTATACATTTTTTTTAATTTCCTCCCATATTTATTTAAAAATAGATATTTATGTAGATCAATATGAAATGTCAAGGAATAAGGGATAAAACCATTTGTAGATAATAACTTCCAAATACTATTTACTACAGGCCAAGGACTTTACCAGGTACTTGACATAAATCATCTCATTTAAACTGCATTAAGAATATACAATATCGGGCAGCCCCTGTGGCGCAGTGGTTTAGCATTGTCTGCAGTCCAAGGTGTGATCCTGGAGACCTGGGATCAAGTCCCACGTCAGGCTCCCTGCATGGGGCCTGCTTATCCCTCTGCCTGTGTCTCTGCATCTCTCTCTCTCTCTCTCTCTGTGTCTCTCATGAATAAATAAATAAAATCTTAAAAACAAAAAAAACAAAAAAACACAAGAATATACAATATCATAATCACCATTTTACAAATAAACAGGTTCAGAGTAATTAAGCTACTCCAAGATTACCAACTAGTAATGTAGCAGCATTGAGTTTTAAGACCAGGTCTGTGAGATTCCAAAATCTAGAGTCACTATAATGTACAGGTTTTCTATAACATTACTTCAAAGAGGAGGTAGGTAACCAAACCATACTAATCTATCAGACAAATACAAAAATTAACTCTGCTTTACACAAAACTAAGCAACCCTGACAAGCTGTTCATAAAAGAATACTGGTAAATTAAGAATCTTATTCTAAAAACACTGGGAAAGCTCTGAGCTGAACCATCCCATAAAGTAAAACAGTACCCTGTAATTTCTCTTATTCTTAGTTTGTACTCGTGCATGTAAAATTTTTGCTTTATTTCAGAAGGAAGTCTATCTGAACCTCTCAGTGGATACTCTAGAGTAAGAGACAATGAAGAGGGTATTTAAGCAATCAGAAGGAGGGATGTCCTCTGAGGTCTAGGAGTGCATTTGATTGATGGGAGTCGAAAGGCAAGGGGTTCAAACCTAAATATGCCTAGTCTTTATTTAGGTGAAATTTTAAAACCAAAATACTATTTTTCTAACATGATCTCTTTTTTAAAAAACTTCTTTTAAGCTATCTTTGGTCTAGTATGACCAACTCAGGAGACCATCCCCACCTCCCCAACATCCCCAAAAAGGGAACAAATAAACAAAATACATATATCTCGACTGAGAAGTCTTGACTGTACAATAAAAGGTGATAGTACAAGTACATGAACAAAACCAAAAGTAACTACTTTTGGGTAACTGGGTTATGCCAGTTTTACTGTGCTGTTTCTCCCAAATAAAGTTAAGATATGAAACCTTCAAAAATTAAAAAGCACAGGCCTATTGGGAATGGAACAGGCCAGGGCCTGGGCCAACTGTTTAAATGAGAAAGCCCCAGGCATGATGGGAACTGGATACCTTCCTGCACCCCTTAATCAAGATTGAATTTCTGTCAACAGGTCTCACTGAAAAAAAAAAAAAAAGAAAGAAAAAAGAAAAAAGACACATGCGTCAACCACATTCCTCTAAACAAATCAGACTGCCAAGCAAGAGAATCAGCTTCACATTTCAAAATTATCTGAATCTACCACAGCTCTAGACTCCTGAAAAACTAGAAACATTCTGAATGAAGAAAAGCTCTTTCAGACCAGTAATCCTACAATAGAACTGAGAAAAAAGTCTCGCTCATATTATGAACTACTTAGGTTCCTTTTAGAACTCTTAAGTGCCATCATCATATCATATAGTTCATTTTTGTTTCCAGAAAGCAAAGACTAAAGGATACATATAATCTCTTCCTTCAAGAAACTCATATTTGAGTGGAGAATACAGACAATTGTGATACAGGGTGATCAATGCTATAGCAGGGGAAAAACCAAGGTCACTACGGAAATGCAGAGACGGGGAGGTCAGAGAAGGGTACCTGGTGGAAGTGATGCATAGAAGATACAGACAGCGATGAGCACAGCATAACCTATAGAGATGTTGAATCACTGTATTGTAAACTGAAACTAATGTAGCATTGTGCGTCAACTATACTCAAATCAAAAATTATTTAAAGAAGAAAAAGAAAAAAGATGCATAAAGAACAACAAGATACAGGCAATCCTGCAGAGTTCTTTCTACAAGCTAGGGATGAATACTGATTTTTTCTAAGAGATAAATGGAAAGGGGAAACAAATTCAGGAAAAGCACATAACTGAGGAAGATTGAAAAAGAAGCAACGTAACTTGTTTCCACATTCATCTGAAATTAACCTCCATCATGTCCTGTCCCTCTTCACTCTCAAACCAAAAATAACTAGCCTTGACAACATCTATAAATCAAAAGGTGCAAGTTCAGAGGAGGTGGGGGAAAACTGCAAAAGGGTGCATTCTAAGCAAGGTTGAAATAGTAGACTAGCAGCTCCTAAACAAAACAAAGACTTTGGTGTGACAGATGCTCTCGGGCACTTCACTATCCACCTTGTGAGCTGCATTATACCTATTTCTATTGGGAGAAAAATCATGAGTTAAACAACTGGTAATATAATAAACAGGGTAAGAGAGAGTAAGTCAAGACTCATTAGAAGTGTATTAGTTAAACAGTCCCATCCAAATAGTGCCATTTCCCCAGGCACACCCTCTCCTACTTTCACAAGGGATAAGAGATCCTGTTACCGTACCACAAGTTAAATAGAGTTGAGTTATTTTCATCCTACCCAAGCAGAAAACACCTACATTTTTTTTTTGTACATAAGGGATTAGCAGGAGCCAATAAAGGGCAACATAATCCAGCATGCAATTTTAACTGTTAATCAAAGTCAGAAACTAAGTCTGAAGGAAGTTAATGGACTTCGTGTTTCCACATTTATGTTTGCTAACTTCTACATTGAAATTGGATCTGTTTACAGAAACAGATCCATGAAGCTTCCAAAATTGGGTCAATTTAAAATCCAATGACAATCCCTCACTGTCCAAGCATTCAGAAGTCAGCACAGGACACATGGACACTTGTTGTAATTCATCACTGTCCAGAAACCTCAAGCACATATATTTTTCATCATCTCTCTCCCAAACTTGTGAGTTATGGGTTACAAACTCAGTTCTGCTTTATTTAATTAATACATAGAACTCTATAAACCCTAAACCACTCTTATACAACTAATAGGACCTGAATAAAAATCAATGATGTAATTTACCTTCAAACCAAATAATGATACAGATCTTTGTAGAATACTAAAAAAATCTTTGTAGAATATCAGGATATCTTTGTAGAATATCAAAGTGTTCTGCTGTTTCAAGAGTAAGAAGCTGAAAGAGTTTGTAAGGGTTGACAGTGGGGCTGCGGGAGGTTACAATTCTCGTGAATACTCAGTCTTGTAAAGATTTACATCCTTCAAAAGGTATCCTTCTTGGGATGTAGATACACAGATACCCAAGAACCTCAAAAAGTGATTACCTATGGGATGCCAAAAAGTGAGGTAGACAGTGGCAGGGTTAAAAGATTTCTAAGTATAAACCTTTTTATACTATTTCGATTTGTACCATGTGAATGTATCACATATTTTTAAAATATAAATTTGTGCCTGTGTGAATATACACTATTAAGTAGGTATGTAAATCAGCAAAATTTTCCTATGAGACAATTTGGTGTTATGTACCAAAGTCTTAAAAATATGCATTTTTTTTTTAAACTAATGATTTCACTATATGAAATACTATGGCAGAACCATATAATGGGGGGACTGCCTGGGTGGCTCAGTCAGTTAGGCATCTGCCTTTGGCTCAGGCCACGATCCCAGGGCTCCCGGCTCAGCAAGGCGTCTACTTCCCCCTCTCCCTCTGCTTGCCACTCCCCTTGTGCCAGCCCACGCACTCTCTCTCATTCTCTTTGTCAAATGAATAAATAAAATCTTTGGGGAAAAAAAAAAGAAGTTAAAAAAAAACCATATAATGGAATACCACATAGCCATTAAAATTATGTTGTAGCAAAACTTAATGACATGAAAAACTGTTCATAACCTAATTATGAAGTCGAAAAAAAATAATGAAAGTTTTTAGTGTATGACTTTTTATTTTTTTAATTTTTTAAAAGATTTTATTTATTTATTCATAAGAGACAGAAAGAGAGACAGAGAGAGAGACAGAGAGAGAGAGAGAGGCAGAGACATAGGTGGAGGGAGAAGCAGGCTCCATGCAGGGAGCCCAATGTGGGACTTGATCCTGGGACCCCAGGATTACGCCCTGGGCCGAAGGCATGCGCCAAACCACTGAGCCACCCAGGCGTCCCAGTGTATGACTTTTTAAAACCAAACACAGTACACAGAAAAGAATCAGAAAGAAATCTATCAAACTGTTAGCAATAGTTTATCTGAGAGGTAGGATAGTGAGTGAGAGTCTTTCTTTTGCTTTTCTGTATTAAATAAATTTCCTTCAAAATATGTTATTTCTAGTTTATTATTGGAATTTTTTTAAATTTAATTTACAGAGTGCCTGGGTGGCTCAATTGGTTAAGCATCTGCCTTCAGCTCAGGTCATGATCCCAGGGTCCTGGGATCAAGCCCCTCATTGGGCTCTCTGCTCAGCAGGGAGCCTGCTTCTCCCTCTCCTTCTGCCTGCCCCCCACCTACTTGTGCTTTCTCTCTGTCAAAGAAATAGATTAAATAAATAAAACCTTTTTAAAAATTATTTATTTGAGAGAGAGAAAACATGAGCAAGGGGGAGGGTCAAAGGGAGAGAGAGAAGCAAACTCCTCACTGAGCAGGGAGTCCAACATGAGGCTCAATCCCAGGACACTAGGATCATGACATGAGCCAAAGGCAGATGCTTAACTGACTGAGTCACCTAGGCACCCCTCACCCTTTTTTTTTTTCCCCAAAATATGTTACTTTTGAAGACACATTAAAGCTAACCATTTTTGATGGTAATATATTAATGTTTCTCTTATTCCTTTTTGATATAACTTACTGTGGACACAGCCTTACCTGTGGCTTAATGCCAGTCAATCCACCTTCCTACAGGCTTGATTCAGAGTTGCAATATACTCTTTCACCTCTCTTCTGAAATACTGTAGTCTACCAAGTACTTTTTATCAAGAACCTGGAAGAAACAGAAAGGTGATATAACAGGTTTACGTTTTCTAGTAAAAATGGTTAACAGAGAATACAAAAGCGCTACAAAACACCAAGAATACCCACTTTCAAAACCAAAGAGTGCTTCTGAGAGCTAAGGTCTAAATAGCATAAGTCTATCCTTAATAATACCCTTAACTGTTGTTTCAGCTTAAGTTTTTTTAGTATGTATTTGCTGTCTCAGGATGTCTTTGAGATCATATACTCCCACTTTAAAACCATCTTTCCAAAATCTGCAGTTTAGGAACACTGACACGAAGGGGTGATACTGTGCACTTCTATCCTATTCAAACATTAGAATGGAAAGAAAAAAAAAACTTACTATTTTTTTTATTAAAAAAATAAAAAGTAGAAATATTGAGGCGCCTGGGTGGCTCAGTCATCTGAGCATTTGCCTTCAGCTGAGGTCGTGATCCCAAGGTCCTGGGATAGAGCCCCACATTGGGCTCTCTGCTCAGCAGGGAGCCTGCTTCTTCCTCTCCCTCTGCCTGCCACTCCTCCTGTTTATGCTATCAAATAATTAAATAAATAAATCTTAAAAAAAAAAGTAGAAATAGTATTCTTTAAAAATTTCCAAAGCCCCTTTCTCACTCAACATTAATCCCCCCCCAAGTTTCTCTATGCAAACAAAACCAGAACCCCTCCCAGTTATCTATACTTTTTTTTTTTTTTTAAGATTTTGTTTATTCATGAGAGACACAGAGAGAGAGGCAGAGACACAGGCAGAAGAAGCAGGCCCCATGCAGGGAGCCTTCTGTGGGACTCTATCCCAGGACCCTGGGATCATGCCCTGAGCCAAAGGCAAGATGCTCAACCACTGAGCCACCCAGGTGCCCCATCTATACTTTTAACCAAGTACCTTGAACCACTGATCTCCATCTAGGTCTCTGTCTCAAATACGGACCTATCCACAAAATTATATGGGCTCTTAAATCTCCCAGTAGTCAATTCTATTTCCTAACTTTACTCATTGCAAAGAAATTCAGTTTGCCAAAGAGTGTTTAGATCTCTCCTCTCTTCCTTCCGTCCCCAGCAATTCAAAAAGAATTAGGGAGAAAGACTGAAGAAAAAAATAGGTAGGGGATACAGAAGAACTCTGAATACCTCATGGCACCTAAATAAAACATGAAGGACTTTCCCACATAATCCTGTCTCCTGAAGAAGCTTAATTGCAAATGTAGGATAAATTAACTTTATTAAGCTTGGAATAGACAGACTTAAGCATAAGGCTGGCCAAAACAACCCTATTTTATTTCAAGTTTTAAAGTTTAAACAGATTTACCAACCTAGCTGAATACACCGTTTTTCATACCTGCAATTTTGTAGTGAATTTAGATATCTTCCTGCCTATCCAATTCAGCAGATAGTAAGTGGACAATTTCTGTGCACCAAGACTGTTCTAGTTCTTGTCTAACCAAAGTCTGCTTATCAAGAGCCAGTTTGTGTTCCATCTGCTTCGCAGACATCCTTGCCTATTTTAAAGATCATTGATCTCCCTCACCTCTACACTGCCAGGGCAGCTGCAATACATAACACTAGGGGACTCCAATGCTATCGTGTCTTGTTCAGATTGTCACTTGTCATTTTGAATCAGTGTTTTGTCCTCAAGCATACCAGAAAACCCATGAGAACATCGTACATCTGAATATCCATAGTATCTAAAACCAATCTGAGCACACAGTACATCCTCTCAAAAGTCGGTTAATTAGTTAAGTGAGTTGGGAGCCACAATAATTTTTATCCTGAGAGTGGCAACTTAACCCTGACCTAACACGCCCAACAGCCAAAACAACCAAGAGTGATATAGGGGTGGCTTGGCAGGGGGTATGACACACTGAGGCCACAACGCAAGGGTATCCTTACTATAGCAGTAAATAGTTCAAATTCTGACATGTAGGGCAGCCTGGGTGGCTCAGTGGTTTAGCACCGCCTTCCGCCCAGGGCGTGATCCCGCAGACCCAGGATTGAGTAATGCTTCGGGCTCCCTGCGTGGAGCCTGCTTCTCCCTCTGCCTGTGTCTCTGCCTCTCTCTGTGTCTCTCATGAATAAATAAATAAAATCTTCCAAAAAAAAATTCTGACATGTAATGAGTGAGACAAATATGAAGATAGGCCATAGGATGTCAAGACCAAGTAAAGCTGAATGAACCTGGGAGAACATAAAGCGATAACCTCAGCTCGAAATCCGCAGAGCACTCAACGCTGTCTGGTCCTAAGCAGGGCTGGGCTGATTAGGGCAAGCCCTTGGTACTTAACTACAAGAAAACTGTACGTGAGACAAAGAAACCCTACGTCAAGAAAAAGGGGGCAAAAGAATCCTACCTTATTATAAGTCTGGTTCACGCTTTTTCCTTTCCTCCTCAGTCTATAAATGCTCTAGGAGAGAAAATTAGGCAGTAATTTTAGAATAATTAGGCAATAATCAAAGGGGGAGGGCTAAACGGATATGAATAAAACAGGATGAATTTTAAATCCCAAATAGAAAGACAACTCCAATTGGAATTCAAGTCCCGCAATTAATTATGTTCCCACTCCGTATCTATTACCTTTCTATCTTATACAATAGTTTTTAAATGTAGTTGTGACCCCATCTGTTTTCCTCCACCAAAGCCACACTTCTTGAGGGCGGGGCTACCGTTTCACCCATTGCTTGAAAATCTAGATTGTGGGCCTCAGCTCCCTCCTGCATAAAGTGGAGCTAAGAATAGCTCCTGCTTCAGTGCCTTGGTGAGATAATTAAGAAAACGTCTGCACGCAGAGTGCTTAGTCCACGAACGCTCATTTCATCTGTGCGCGGTAACAAAGATCGTTACCGTTATTAGCCTAGAGCCTCCCACAACCCCTACTTCCCCCTATTTCCCACGGCCGGCCTCGGCCTCTACCTGCAGACACAGCCTGCCAGCCTCGGTCCGGACACACTTCACGGAAAAATCCTGTCACCAAGAGAAGGGCAGTCCGAAGGCCGGCTCCCTCTCCGCCCGGCCTGGGAGGCGCCCACACACCAAGACCGCCTCAGAAGCCCGGGCCGAGAGGCGCTTGGAGGCGCTACGGGCTTGGGGGAGACCTCCGGCCGTTCGAAAATCAGGGAAGGGGCAGGCTGCGTCCCAGCCGCTCCCCGTTTCTCCCCAAGGCTCACCTCGCCACAGCTCTGACAACCAAGCGCCCGGAAGACCCGCGGCGGGACTCATTCAGTACCGTTGAAAATTTGAACCCAGGCTCCCTAGTTGAACCCACCAATCAGAGTGAGGGAACCGGCAATCCTTAGCCTCCCGATTGGCCCAGAGGATCGCAAGGACGCCGGAAGTCGAGATGCGACACAAGCAAACAACCGCCCCGGGAGGCTCCTGGGAAATGTAGTCTCGTGCAACTTGCGTGAACCCTTTGGAAGAACTCTATAAGGAAATTACTACAAAGCCCAGAATGCTCGACTCCAAATTATTCGGGAGAGGTAGTACCAACTGGAGAGAGGAAGAGTCGCTTCAGGTAACAGAACGACGCGCACCTGGATTTCCCCAAAACCTTCACGAAAGAAAAATTTATTATTCTCCCTACTGTAGTGCCTGGTGCCTTGGTCATAGGAATTCGCTTCGTTTTAGCATAGAGTCCCCTGTATACAACATAGACTCGCCCTCATCTCTTCTCCCAAACGTGAAGGAGTCTCTCCCAAGTCCTTATTGAGCCCATTCTCCGGTAAGGACTGGCTTAAAGCCGCGGCTTATGATTGGTTGGTCCTTCCCTTTTAATTCCATTTACGCCCCTTGTTTTGTCGTCCTCGTATTTTAGAAGAGAAAACAAAAGGTTCAGAGAAGTTGAGTGAATAGTCTAAAATCAATAAATGGAGGAAGCGGAACTTGAATTAGGCACTTCTGGTCCTATACATCATCAATAATTACTTAGAAAATAATAGCAGCTACAAGAGGGGAAAGATCGCTGTAATAAAAATTACAACGTTTAAGAAAATAAGCTTAAGGCCTTTATCTGAAAATTTAAAACTGTAAAACTTGGTTGAATAACTACAAAAATACGTAAAGGAGATTATATGCTTTATTAGTGGATGGGGAGATCCAGTATTGTAAAGCTGTTAATTTTCCGTATGAAGAGTTCAAGGCAATTACAATGAAATTCGCCAAGGTTTTGTCATGGAACTTGCCAAGTTGATTCTAAAATTTATATAGAAGAAAACACAAGTGGCATCTGAATTTTGAAAAATAATGGGGGAGGCAGGTGACTGCCATACATAAGCTCTCATGAACATTAACATATTTGTAAATTATAGTTATGTTTAAAGTATGGTTAATTGACTCCATGGGGATATAATAGGGAAAATCCAGAAAGGAAAACTCTACAGAACAACAGATCTCGTTTCTTCAAAACATAAACAGCAAGAGTGGTTTTGTTTTTGTTTTAATACTTCTTCCTATTTGTAGAGATACATATAGAAATGGTAGGAATGAAATGACTCTAGAATTTGCTTCAGAATGATCCGGATAGTGCGGGGTCTCGGGAAATAGGTGGGAGTATAGATGAAACGAGTGAAACAAGATTAGCCACAAAATGTTAAGCGTTGAAGCTGAATGGCAGGTTTGTGATACATATATGCATATATATGCTCATGTAAATGTGTTTGTGAAGTTTTCACAAGGTTCTTTAAAGCAGAATATTGCCATAAGAATTATTTTAAAACAACAGAAGATCAATTAGAAGAGCTTAAGAGTCCAGAAACAAACTCATGTATATCAGAATTTAGTAAATGCTGAGTAGAATTTCAAATCAGATGGAAACAAACAAATAATGGAGTTAGGACATTTGCTTTTCATTTGGGGAAAATATTATATTAGATTTTTATCCCATACCATTTACAAAAACAAATTTCAGATGAATTAAAACCCTAAAGATAGGGACGCCTGGTTGGTTCAGCCACTGAGCATCTGCTTTTGGCTCCGGTTGTGGTCCGGAGAATCCCAGGATCAAGTCCCTCATCAGGCTTCCTGCATGGAGCCTGCTTCTCCCTCTGCCTGTGTCTCTGCCTCCCTCTCTTTCTGTGTCTCTCATGAATAAATAAACAAAATCTTAAAAAAAAAAAAAACAAACCCTAAAGATAGGGGAAAAATCAAAATTTTTAAAAGTTTAAAAGAATATGTTTTCGATTTTGGGGTAGGAAAATTTTATGTTAAGACAAAAGGGATAAACTAAGACATAAAGGTAAACACTGACCAACATTTTAAAATTCTGTTTGACAAAAGAAAAACAAGACTGAAGGATGAAATATTTCCAACACATATAACAAAGAATTAGAACTCAATATATATAAATGAACAGCAACAAAAAAAAAAAAACCAAGAATCAGTAAGAAAAGGACAAAACCTCAATAGGAAAAAAATGGAGAATATGGGCACTTCTTAGAAGAAGAAATAAAATTGGCCATTAAAGATAACACAAAGGGGCACTCCCCTCTGCTTGCTAGATAGGATGCTCCCCAATTCAGGAATCCCTTAATAAAGCTAATTGGATCTTCAAATTAAAAAAAAAAAAAAAAGACATGCAAGGGTGGTTGGCCTCAACTAGTAATATTGAAATTTAAGTTAAATTCAAAGTATAAGCAAGAAGGCACCGTTTTCACCCATCAGGTTGTCCAAAATTAAAAGTTTAATGGTATCAAGGATTTGCAAGGTAAAAGAACAAATGGGTTTGGCTGCTTTAGAGGGCAAGTTAGCAACATCTATTAAAATGTCAAACACGTGTGCCCTGTGATCTAGGACTTCTATTCCTAGGTTTAATTCCAAGAGACACAATCATCAACCTTCGCATAGAAGCACAGTCACTATCACATGAATCGAGCACCTACCATGTGTCAGTCACTATACTAAATGTTGGGATGAAAAAGACAAAATCTCTGTCCTTGAGAACCTGATTCTAGATTCTACTGGGGAAGGCAGACTCTAAACAAGGTAAATAAATGATGTAGTGTATTAGGAGGTGGAAATGCAAAGCCTTTGCTCTCCAGGCCCCAAAGGTGGATGGCAATGAGAGGAGGAAGGCAGAGGGGCTGGACAGAGACAAAAGAAGGGCAGGGTCGGCCTACACTGTGGCCGCCCATTTTCAGCAGACACAGCACCTAATCACTAGGGACCTGGAGGGCCACAGAGTAGCCATGCTCAGGTGGGGGTGGAGCTAAAGAGCTTGCTTTATATTAGGAGAGCAAGGGCATCAGAGCTGTGCCCCATCCAGGACCTACTAAGTAGAAGATGCCCAGTAGGTGAGTGAGTGAATGAGGCAGTGCCTGAGAGCCAAGATGTGTGCAAGAGCTTCCCAAGTCGTTCCAAGGGGTAAGCCTGACCCAAGGAATTCATTTCCTGTCATCCCTTCTACATTGATTACATTCTAGTCTGAGTCTCAAGTTCCCATTCTTCATGAATGGATGACTGCAAGGGCTGAAATCACCAAAGCAGCCTTTTAGAGCTGAAAGGAAGCACAGACACATCTGGTCCACTCTACCCACATTTTCAGCCATCACTATTTTGGCCTTATTCGTGTGAAGGGGGTTTGTCATTTTAAGTAGGGTAGTTCAGGGACATTTGGACAAAGATCTCCAGAAGGTAAAGAGTGAGCCATTATAGATATCTAAAGGAAGAGTATTCTAGGCAGAGGAAGAAGCAAGTGAAAAGATAGGAGCATAGCCGGCATGTTTTAGAAATACCTAGGAAGTCAGTGCCTAGAACAACTAGACAAGGAAGAGAATGTCAGGAGATATTCTGGCAAACCAACTGGGCCACTGTGAGGACTTTGATTTTTACTCTGAATGAACTGGGAGGCTGAGGGTTTTTTGCACTGATTAGCTCTCTGCTTTTAATGGGATAATTCTGGTTGCTGTGCTGAAAACAGAGGGAAGGAGAGCAGGAATCTTCCATCAGGGAAGAGCAGGGAAATCAATTAATAGGCTGTTGCATTGGAGCTGTGAGAGATTGGAAACCACCTAAATATCCATAAGTAGGAGGATATTTTTTTTTAAGATTTTATTTATTCATTCACAGAGACACACACACAGAGAGGCAGAGACACAGGCAGAGGGAGAAGCAGGCTCCATGCAGGGAGCCCAACGTGGGACTCTATCCTGGGTCTCCAGGATCACCCTGGGCTGCAGGCGGCTAAACCACTGCGTCACTGGGGCTGCCCAGTAGAAGGGTATTTTAATAAACTGTCTCTAGAATGGAATACTAAGCATCAGTTCAGTTCAAAAGAGTTCAACTGATCTGGACTGACAAGGCAGTATCTTCGAGACACATTTTTGGTTAGAAAACAAATTGCTGATTGATATAAATTCATTATGAAACCATTATGTTTTTTTTAATTTATTTTTTTTAAGATTTTATATATTTATTCATGAGAGACAGAGAGACAGAAGCAGGCTCCATGAAGGGAGCCCGATGTGGGACTCGATCCCAGGTCTCCAGGATCATGCCCTGGGCTGAAGGCGGTGCTAAACCGCTGAGCCACCTGGGCTGCCCAAAATTTATTTATTTATTTTTTAAATAAACTCTATCCCCAGGACCCCTGGGTGGCTCAGCAGTTGAGCATCTGCTTTTGACTCAGGGCATGATACTGGGATCTGGGATGGAGTCCCACATTGAGCTCCTGCAGAGAGCCTGCTTCTCCCTCTGCCTGTGTCTCTTGTCTCTCTCTCTCTCTCTCTCTCCCTCCCTCCCTCTCCCTCTCCCTCTCTCCCTCTCTGTCTCTCATGAACAAATAAATAAAATCTTTAAAAAAAAAAAAACAACTCTATGCCCAAAGTGGAACTCGAACTTAAACCCCGAGATCAAGAGTCCCATGCTCCACAGACTGAGTCAGCCAGGCACCCCTGAAACATTGTGTTTTTTAAAAATATGCAAAATGGACAGCCCGGGTGGCTCAGGGGTTTGGTGCCGCCTTTGGGCCAGGGCCTGATCCTGGAGACCAGTGATCAAGTCCCACGTCAGGCTCCCTGCATGGAGCCTGCTTCTCCCTCTGCCTGTCTCTGCCTCTCTCTCCCTCTCTCTGTGTCTCTCATGAATAAATAAATAAAATCTTAAAAAAAAAATGCAAAAAAAAAATAATAATAAAATAAAAATAAATAAATAAAATAATTTAAAAAAG